AAAAAAAAAAAAAAAAAAAAAAAAAAAAAAAAAAAAAAAAAAAAAAAAAAAAAATCCCCCCTGTACCTCTCGTTCTCCTTAGTTAGCTTCTGCGCTTCCAGCAATTCACAAAAATACGCTTAAAAGTTCGGATTTTGAAGAAGGGAAGCGGCGCTCCGCCGATTCTACCCTTCCACCGGCACCGGATTGACCGTTCTTTCTTTCTCTGTAGTTTCTATCTGCCCCACCAGTTTCACTGCACATAAATCGACTAGGGAGTATCAATGGCGGAAGCAGAGACAGGATCAGCTACAGGCAGCAGTGGCGGAAGAGCGGAGGCGTCGCTGAAAGACAAGGGCAATGAGTTTTTCAAAGAAGGAAACTATCTCAAAGCGGCTGCACTTTACACTCAGGCTATCAAGCTAGACCCTTCGAATCATGCTCTTTATAGGTATATTACTCTTTCCTTTTTCTTTTGCTTGATACTGTTTTCGTAATTATTAAGAATGTTACTCTCGTGTGTTCTTTGCACTATTTGATTGATTTTGACATCTGGGATTGATTGTGAATACAATGTTTCTCCTGATCTGGATGTTACCTTAGTCGAGAGCTCAATTATTGACTCCCGGTAGCTCATCAACACTGATTAGGTTATAGAATATCACCATGGCCTAGTGGTCAATAAAGGGTAATGTAAGTAGTACAAGTGATATGAACCAAGCGGCATCTCAATCATAGCAATATTAATGCCAATCAAGATTCATTCAAGTAGGGCTTCATTTATTCTTAGATTGTTCCAGATTAAATATCGATGATAATTTAGTATTTTGGATATTCATTAATGTATTTTAAGGCTTTTATTTATTTAAAGTTACATTTATAGTGGTTAATTGTAGTCATAAAGTATGAAAGCCTCATGGAAGGTTAAGGGTTTTCATTTTGAGGCAGTATAAAGCCATGTTATCATTGTAAAGGAAACTTGGAAAATGCAGTAAAAGAAGTCGGATAAGTTTCTTTACAATTCTATGTAGTTTAGGTTGCATGTAGAATTATTCAAGCTCGACATGATCAATCTTCCTTGTAGAGTGATTTGAATCTTAAACAAGTGTTCTTGCCTTGAGATATTTGATCAACAAGGTAATCCGAATCTTATTTCCCTTGTAGTGATTCCTTATCAACAAGGCTTAGTGATTATGTGCAAGTTGGCTTGGACAGCCGTGGATATAAAAGAAAAACGAGATTAGGCTATTGAATTTAAGACAGTCTAGTCTGAAAAAGAAGAAAGTTGCACACTCATGCATAGTATTTGAGAAACATAGGCCAACATCCACTTTTCAGTCAGCTGCAAAACCCTTTTCTGAATTGGAGGAATTATAAGGAACTCATGCCCACTTGCAATCAAACTGGAATTACAAAGAAAATTAAGGAAAGACTGAAGTTTCCTTAATTTGTTGTGATGATTGCACTTGTCCATTTGCCTAATTTTGATCATTGGCTGGCAGCACACAGAGACGACGAGACAATGGATAGTTTTAAAATATTTGTGCATCGTTGCCATATGCTTGTACCTAAGTTGAGCTGATTTATGTTTGGTTTTCCAGCAATCGTGCTGCTGCCTTTCTGCATCTAGTTAAGCTTAACAAAGCACTTGCTGACGCTGAGATGACAATTACATTGAACCCACAGTGGGAAAAGGTAACAAATTCCATTCCATGTATTGTTTGAGCTAGATCCTTTTCAGTTCCGTTCATTCAGACTTTTCAGTTTTGATATGCCACAGGGATATTTCAGAAAGGGATGCGTTTTGGAAGCCATGGAAAAATATGATGATGTATGTCGAATGCTTCCTTTGCAACGTTCGTGTCAATGACGTACATAATATTTACTAACTATGGCTGAATTCATCTGATAGTTCAAACGTTCTTGTTGTAGGCATTGTCTGCATTTCAAGCCGCCTTACGGTACAATCCACAAAGTGCAGAAGTCTCAAGAAAGATCAAAAGGGTTTCACAGTTAGTGAAAGATAAAATGAGAGCCCAAGAAGTGGAGAACAAGAGATCAAATATAGATATGAAGAAGCACTTGGATAAGCTGAAATCTGAACTGGTGAGTTGCATTCATCCAACCGAGGCTTATTTTTACAGCATATACTGTAATAGGTTATGAAAATAGCAATTTTCCACGTTTCAATTCTCTAGAGATGAATTTACTCTTGAATTAGCCCTCCCGAAGTGTACGGATAACCATCGATTTCTATTTGCAGTCTGACAAATATGGCTCGGAAGAAGGCTGCAAAGACATATTTTCTTTTCTTGTTGAGACAATGGAGGCTGCTGTGAGATCATGGCATGAAACTTCCAATGTGGATGCTAAAGTGTACTATTTACTCGATAAGGAAAAGACGGATACCGAAAAATATGCTCCAATTGTTAACATTGATAAGGTGTTCGCCGACTACCGTTATTCTCAAAACTCCTCGAATATTGAGTCTGAACTGTTTATTTGGTTCCTAGAAGAAACAGTGTAATTATTATATACCAACTATTCCTGTTTTTGTGCAATGCAGGCATTTGAATCGCCTCACACGCATGGTGATTGTTTTCAATTCTTAAGGAAATATGCCGAGGATTCAGTCGCCCGAGCAGCATGCTTAGTTGCTCCCAAAAGCTTGATATCTTACCCACAGGTGAGGTTAATGCCTTTGTTTCTGCATAGCAAAGATATAATATATCCATAAAACTCCATTTTTACATCTATCTTCATCTCCGCTAACTCCCTCTGTTCATAAACAACTTTTTTGTCACTATTCTAATAGTATTCCTAGGAACCTTTAGTTGTGCAAAAATTCTCAAAATATAAATATTGTTTGCAGGTCTGGAAAGGACAAGGTTCAAGAAAATGGAAGCATGGACAGCATGATGGTTTCTTTGTTCAGCTTGAAACTCCTTCCCTAAGAAAGCTATGGTTCGTTCCTAGTTCCAGTGAACTGGGACGACCATTGTGCCGGTCTCTCTCTCTCTCTCTCTCTCTCTCTCTCTCTCTCTCTGCTGCTACACTTTGTTTTTCATGCATATAAATTGCACTTGTTCTATGCAAAACTGCCATCAAGGAACACAATCATCTTAAACGTTTCTTTCGCCTCAATTCTACGTCTGGGTTGCATAATTTTATTTGACATGGAAGGTTTCCCCCATTTTCATGTGTTTTTCATGTGGTTTTTTAACCTCAGTTCGGTTGCAACCTGCCGTCTTCTTTACCATAAAGCAATTGCAAGATGATTTCCATGGACAAGAATCAAGCTCTGTACAAAACTGTGGTTTATGGGAACGATTTATCTATCATCCTTTGTTAATTAACTACTTTTATGGTTTGTTGGATTTTTCTCATCTATAGACTAACTATAACATCAACGTTTTAGTAACTTGAGATCTGTATCCATGGTCACAGCCATTCATGTCTTATTTTATACTTTCTGACTTAGAATCATTTTCAGGGATCCTGAGGTTCTGGATATCGGTGTGCATGAACTAATACCGCGCATATTCAAAGAAAAGCTGCTGAGCACTTAGATTCAATGGAGCCAGACTTGGGTTCGAACTCGCAATGTTATCATCGTCTTTTCTGAAGAACGCATTGCCGACAAAGCTTCTTAGAAGGCCCTTTCGCGAATGTTTGTAAGCGTTTCACATTCATACCATGCCCACACAGATAGAACTGTAGGAAGTTTGAAAACTGAGAGCTGCTTTTGTTTTATCAAACAATAGACATTCTATGTTGTACGATTGTTGATTGCTGTTTTGTTATGTAGCGTTGCTAAACATGGAACAGAGTTCTTATCAATATTTTTCATTTCCTGTCCTTGAATTCTAAACATGGAACCACTGTACAGAGTGATTCCTGACAATGGCAGTCAGGAACTTTTCTTACTTCACATGCAACAAGAGATCTGTAGTTGGTATTTGTGAGCACTGTACATGTGGAACCACATTCACTATTATTGACTGAACTTGCAGACTTGGCAAGCTTCATTGTCCATGGATACTGGAAGTCTTGGGGTGCACAGCCCATATGAGAAGACGATCGCTCAGTTGGTGCCCGCCTTCTGCTTGATTGTTTCTCAAATGATTCGGGCCTCGTCTTTGGCGCACTCTGTGACCGTACTTTGGCTCTTGAAGATTGTGTATTGGCCATGTAACTTGGGAACATTGGATACTCAAAAGACAGAGACTGCATACAATTTGTTGTGGAATCTTGTGGGTCCTCGAAATGACGACTGCAACCTCGTGGGTCGATGTCGGTTTGAGTAGATGGTACTAGTGAGACAAGGTGTGCTTGATGTGTGAACCTACGTTCATGTCTTGTCCTGTTCTTCGAGCCTCGTATACACTCTCCATGATCCATCTCCACAATCTTAACGTTTTCCTCTGCAACCTTCATTCACAATATTGAAATGGGTTTGTTGAAGTTCCTACTTTACTGATGTTTCAAGCAACGTTCAAGTTAAGCTGCAAGTTTAGGCAAAAGAATGATACTTACATGATCAGTATAACCAAAGTGATCTTTGTTAACCGAAGGGTTTTTCCCTTCGATCATCCTGATCCGTTCGGCACGAGCTCGAGCCTGAGCCATTATCAATGCTTGCATACACCGGAGAGTAGCTTTGGCCTGTTTTCTAACAAGGTGACCTCTAGCTAGTGCCTGCAGCTTCACCAATCCTCGCAATGCCCTGAGTGCTTTTCTTGCCTACAGCATCACCAGGAGATTGGTAAATGGTAACCATCTGCATATCCAAAAGGAAATAACTACAAAGTTTCATGTTATGGTACCAAATAAGACCGGAAGACTGACTGAATCTTGATGGCAGCAGCCACAGCCGCATCAGCTGCCGCAGCCTTTGCCACTACAATGGCCAAGCCTTGCCTTTGTTCTTCATAATCCATATCCATTGCAGCCTGTTCAGCTGCAGCAACAGGCATTGTTGTGGCAACCATCTCAAGAGGGTATGAATCTCTCGACACCGCCGTGGTGGCCCTTCGAAAACTCCATCTTTTTTTCTCTTTAGGATTGTGTCGAATCGATATCGGGGTGGCTGGACACTCGGAAGTAGTCGTAAAATTCTGATTACTCGAGCGTTTTTCCTTCTCTTTGTCTTTCTTCCCTGTCAGAAAGCTCCTCAGCCATTTGCCTGTCTTTCCCATCTCCTCCTCCCTCGAGTAATCTCAGAATCATAGAAGAAAGCAAATAGAAACCACTTATAAATCTCTCTTGAAATGAAGAGCAGCTTCTAGTTTACTCCTTGATAACTAGAAAAACTCTTGCTTTCATGTCTTCTTATCTTTTCAACTTCCATTTTTACAGCGAGATGGCATGGATTAGGTGTAAACTTGAGGGGAAAGAAACAGAAAGGAAGCTCCACAGACAAGCCATCCGTAAAGTCCTTCTGGCAGCTGTTGCAGAGTTAATTGTACTGTGGCCTTGTTAAGTGTACAATTGACCACGTGAAAAAGGGGTAAAACTAAAAGCAAAAAAGCTCAAGTCGAGTGTCAAACTTGAATCTTAAGCAACTGAGATCTGTCTTTTTGGATCCAATTTGGGAAGTTGGGATTGGTATGTAGTTCGAATCTCGATCCACGTTGCACCAAAATGTAATGTAGGCATATGAACCTGTTGAGCTACGTTTAAATTGATTGATCATGTTGATTCAAGAGTGAACTCAAACTATTCTTCTCGTCCCATACAAAAACAAAAAAAGAGGAGTTTGTAGGGAAAGTTTAAGGTGTACCCATAGAAATAGAAGCATGTGCACCTCAGGCTTTTTGTTGGGTGCTATAGATCCCAAAATGAAGAAAAGGACATTAAAATACAAAGACCTCTCAAGAAGCAATCTCGAGGGGAAAGAGAGTGAGGGAGTCAAAAGAGTTTGGTAGAAAATGGAACACGAGGATAAAATCAAGTTAAATGAATAAGTCATTTCCATTCTCCGATCGACGTGGGACCCCCTAATCCACTTCTTTTGGGACCTAGCATCCTTGCTAGCACACCACCTCGTATTCACTTCCTTCGAAGTTCAACCTACTCACTGGTACATCGCTTAGTGTTTGGCTCTAGTACTATTTGTAACGGTCTAAGCCCACCACTAGCAAATATTGTTCTTTTTTAACTTAAGTTTTTAAAACATGTCTGTTAGGGAGAGTTTCCACACCTTTATAAAAAAATGTTTATTTTTCTTTCTCAATCGATGTGAGATCTCACCATTATTATTCTAAAAGTCGATACTTACGATCTTTCGCTAAAAAAAAAATGACAGTAAAAACATAAAAGTTGCTATTAATTTAGTAACTTTTGTAGAATAATCTAAAAATGGGGATTGAAATGATGGGTCGGTAGAAAAGTTGCAAATGTCACCTTGTCGGCCTCTTCTTCTGTCAATTAGGAAACAAGTTTTTGCAGTTTAGCAATGGTTAAGGATCATGTCGGATTATTTAAAATTGTAAAATATTTTCATTTCTTACTAAATTGGATTCATCACCCAAAATTAAGATGGTAAAACATGATTCTTAGGATTCTACTAAATTATCTGAAATTCATATGTTTTTACTTGATGAGTTTTGAGATTAAAGCCATTAAAATCATAATGGAAGTTAATTAATAAAAGCAGATATTTATGGATAGAAATTATGAGGGTAACGGTCCATTTCCATTACTGTGATAAATCAAGTTCATTTATGAAGATCGTGGACTTCCATGCTGGGTTCGGCCGAAAATTTAATGAACATTGGACTTTTATTGTCTCTTAAGCTCTGATAAGGTTAGAACAGGGAAAATCACAGCGCTTTATAAGCTTAAATCCACGAAAAGCAGCAAAAAAACCCCAGCATCCAACTACCCGCGCCGTCCCCTAAAACCCCATTTACGAGGGATTCGGCTATTTCAAGAGCACGCGTCTGGTTTCTGATCGTAAGAGGACTATGGCGGCCATTGCTGTTCTTGCTCTGCTGCTCATCCTTCAATCTGCAGCGGCTAATGAACTCAACGACCTATTATCGCCTCTTCTCTCGCCCATTTTCGGTTTGTTTTTGCAATTTTTGTGGCTGTTCTTTGTTGGGTTTCTTGATATTTTCATGTTTTTTGAAGAACTTGATTGGGGACTGTGTTTGTTCTTGTTTTGATTGGGTTTGTAATGGCAGAAAATGTCTGCAAGCAAGTGAACTGTGGGAAAGGGAGCTGTAAACCTTCTGATAATGATACTTTCTCGTTTGAATGTGATTGTGATTCTGGGTGGAAGAAGAGTCTTTCTGATGATGATGATGATGATGATGGTCACTTCAAGTTTCTTCCTTGCATTATACCCAATTGTCAGTTTCCTCTCTCTCTGTTATGAAGCTTTTGTTTGAAAAGTTGCTATGTTCTTAGCCATATCTGCTGCAGCAGCTAGCTATTTGATTCTGCAAATTTGGACTTGTTTCTGTTTGATTCATGTATTTGCTAAGAGTTATTACAGAGATAGCTGGTAAGAAGTAGATTTAGAATTCATTTGAGCATTGTAATCTTAAACTATCCATTTCGAACTCGATACTTTATTTGGTGCGTGTATGTGAGATCTCACATCGATTGGATAGGGGAACGAATCATTCCTTATAAAAGTGTGGAAACCTCTCCCCCAGACGCGTTTCAAAAACCTTGAGGGGAAGCTTGAAAGGAAAAACCAATAAGGACAATATTTAATATTTGTGGGCTTGAGCTGATAAATGGTATCAGAGCAGTATGCTAACAAAGGACACCGAACCCCAAAGGGGTGGACACTGGACAGTGTGTCAGGGAAAACGCGGGGTACTAAGGGGGTGAACTGTGAGATCGCACATTGATTGGAGAGAGAAACGAGTGCTAGCGAGGACGTTGGGTGAGATCCCAAGTTGATTAGAGAGAGGAAGGAAAAATTATGAGCGAAAGCGGATCCCTAGTAGACATATTTGATTTAGCATATTATATTTGAAGGTTTTGAGGGTCTTGATCTTAAACATTTCACTGCTATGAATGATGCTGATGGGCATTGTTTTTTTCTGTTGATGGCAGGTACTTTGACGCACTCGTGCTCATCGGCGCCTCCACCGGGCATACAGACCAAACCAAGAACCAACGACTTGATATTCGATCGTAATGACCAAACCTTTTGTCCATAATGTTACCTTGTTTGTGTATATAACAATTTAGTAACTGCTTTGAATGCTTTCTCGTTGCTGTGTAGCTTGCAGTTGGGTCGACTGTGGAGGCGGTTCGTGCAACAAGACGTCGCCATTTACGTACAAATGTGATTGTTTGGCGGATTACTACAATCTTCTCAACATCACTGCCTTTCCATGCTACAAAGATTGTAAGCTCATATCATGCTCACTAAGCTGATGAAGAACTGTTTTGATGTTTGTGTTTGTTTATCATTTTGAAGGCTCAATAGGAATGGATTGCAAGGAACTCGGAATTCCAGTGGCAAGCTCCCCTCCTGCAACTGCCCGTTCAACTAATAACAACGGTCAGTCAGTTCACAATTCCGACTTCTTGTCTTGTCAAATCTTCTATTTCTTTCGTGTAGAGATCCCACGTCAGTTGGAAAAGGGAACAAAACATTTTTTATAAGAATATGGAAATCTCTCCCTAGCTTATGCGTTTTAAAACCGTGAGGCTGACAACAATATTTAATGAGCTAAAGCGGACAATATCTACTAGCGGTGGGTTTGAACTGTTATAAATGGTATTAGAGTCAAGACATCGGGTGGTGTGCCAACGAGGATGTTGGCCCCTAGGGAAATGAATGGTGAGATCCCACATTGGTTGAAGAGGAGAATGAAACATTATTTATAAGAGTGTGGAAACGTCTCCCTAGTATACGCATTTTGAAATTGTGAGGCTGACGGTGATGCGTAATGGACCAAATCAGAGAATATCTACTAGTCTTCGGATGTTAAACGAGCTTACCCAACTCGATGTTTACTATTTATCATTACTTGTTTCCTCCTTACTGATGCCATTATGATGCCCCAAATTGATTTGAGGTAAAACTAGAATTGTATTGACAGTGATTCAAACTGTTTTGATCTGCAGCTGCTAGCGGATTACTTCTCAAGCGAGGCTCCCTCTCGATGATTAGCTCGGTGGTAACATGTGTCGCGACGCTACTGCTGCTGATCAAATAGAGTGACATGTGTAGTGCCAGTGCTATAGTTGATTATAGTTTGATTATGTGTGTAGTATTTGTTGTGCATGGCCGCTATTTATGGCCTTTTGGGTATGAAATAAGTTCCCCATTTGAGTTCTGAGACGATGGGCCTTGTATATAATGCTTACACCAGACAGTCACACCACTTATTATACCTTTTTTTTGGCATTTAACCAACAAGTCCTTGGGGTGTACGATAGAATCTATAGCCCAATAACGCCATAGGATCGCTTATAGTATCAGTCCAAACTCACCGCTAGTAGATATTGTCTACTTTGGCTTGTTAAGTATCGTTGTCAGTTTCACGATTTTAAAACGCGCTTGTAGGGAGAGGTTTCTATACTCTTATAAGGAATATTTTGTTCTTCTCTCCAACTGACGTAGGATCTCACAGTTCACCTTCTCAAGGGCTAGCGTCACTGTTGGCACACCACTTGATGTCTAGGTTTGATACCTAATAATCGAAGTTTAACACTAGTAGATATTGTCCGCTTTGACTTGTTACGTATTATTCTCAATCTCACGTTTTAAAACATGTCTATTAGAGAGAGGTTTTTACATCCTTATAAGAAATGATTTGTTCGTTCTCTCTAAATTATATGAAATCTCATAATCTACTTCCATTGGAAACCTAGAGTGTTCGTTAGCACATCGTTCAGTGATAGATTCTAATACCATTTAGAACAGCTAAATTTCACCACAAACAGATATTGTCTGTTTTGATTCGTTATGTACCGCCATCAACCTCACGATTTTAAGACGTACGGGGTAAGAATAGGTTTTTACCATTTTAGTAGGATATAGTATCTAATCAAACATTAAATGTAGCGAACAAAAGATGAGGAGGCGGTTGAATTATAAAAGTCTTCCAATCAAATCCCACATCGGAAGACACGCAGCTGGCGGTAGTGGGGAAATGGAGTTCTCAATCAGTTCATCCCCCACAATCTGTCCCATCTCTTTATTATTAATACTCATCCTTCCTTCATTGTCATTATAAAATCAGATCATTCCCATCCACTTCCTGTACGTCACCACCCCCCACTCGCCGCCGCGTGCCGCCCCCACTCCCTCCGACAAGCCGTCGTGCTCCTCCCTTTCTCCTCTTATATTTTTAATTCCTAATGGAACTGGAAAGTGCAGAGCTTCCAAATGGCGGGGCTTTTATAATCATGAGAGAACACAGTGGGAGCTTTTTTTAATTTAAATTCTTAATTTTAATTTTCAATCTTATATATTTAATCAATTTAATTTTTATTTTGTTTAAAAATGAAGAAAATTATTGGGAACTTTACTTTTATGTAATTTCTTAAAATTTGTGTCACTCGAGATTTCTGCAACGGATGGCCCTTTCCGTCTTTTTCTCCTTTTGTCTTTTTCCTTTTTTTATATTTGCTTTCCCTTTCAAATATATTCCTTTTTCTTCTAAATTAATATTTATTTTATTTTTTAATTTAAGTTTTCAATAACATATAAAAATTGAAATGGAGAGTTCATATGTCATTTTAGCTTTTTAATCATTAATATAGTTTCTTCAAACTATATTAATTTTTATCGATAAATTATCTGTAAATTTGAATTGGTTCGATGAATTAATAACCCTCGGATCCTATAAAAAAAAATTGTATGCAATATATATTAAATATTTTAAAAAAAATTAAAAATTGAAAAAAAAAAAATATAGACACATGTTTAGAAAAACAAATTGTAGCAGGATGTAAGAATTCATTCCCAATGTCGGCCCTAAAAACAGAAAACAATCAAAAGTTGAATCTAAAAGCATTTAGTTTATTTTTATTCTTTTTTAGAAAAATTTAAATTAATTTTGCCAATATCTAAGAACATTTATTTTTTTTTTATAAAAAAAAATCAAATTAATTTAATAATTTTATGTTATATGTGCACGTGTGTGTCCCCCATATTACCCACCAAACAATGATTTTATTTCACTAATTGAGTTATCACTCTATTTTTAGAAAAATATTATGTGAAGTAATTATTATCCAAAAAGAAGCCAACATTTTCTTTTTTAACAAACAAAAAACCATCTTAAAAAATATACATATATATATATATATATTAGACGAACACAACTTTCCACAATGGTATGATATTGTCCACTTTGAACATAAACTCTCATGACTTTGCTTTAGGCTTCCCGGCCTCATACCAATGAAGAGTGTATTCTTAGATTATAAACCCATGACCATTCCCTAAATTAACCGATGTGGGACTTTCATCATCCAACAATATATATATAAATAAAGGCCTTAATTTGTGGGGATGGTGAAGATTTTGGAACTTTGAATGGACAAAGGAAGAAGAAAACAAGGAGTCCTTGAAATAGTAAATAAAAAAAATAATAAAAAAGACACAAAATTCCATAAAAAATGGTAAAAAATTGCAGTTAAATTAAAAATATTTGAGTTGCAGCAATTCTGTTGGGTTTCATATGAACAAAGTACAGACATTCCTCAGTGCTGCCAGTAGTCCCACGGGCTCAAGAGAGATAAAATACTTTTTAATTAATAATATTAATAAATTACTATTATAATTAAAATATATAATATTATGGGTAAATTGTAGGAGTCATATAAAATGATCGTTCTTCGCACACCGTCCTCTATCTATAGAGGTCAGTGTGCATTCATGTATTCAAGTACGGACAATTCACTCTATTTTTAAAGCTATATCTACCTCATTTATGATAACAAATTGACGTATATCAGCAAATTTGTATTACTTCCCATTAATCTTAAAAAAAAAAAAAAAAAAAAAATGAATTGAATTAATAGGGTTAAAATTAATTATGAGATATACATATAATAACATTAATAATAATAATAATACTAAGATAAGATAAAGAAATATATGAGAATGATTGGGAGTTCTTTCCCTCTTTCTTCATTTATTTTTTCCAGGTGGATACAGTTCATATCTCTTTAAATAATAATTTATTGATTTTTAATATTTTTCTGCCATTTTACCATAATTACCCTCCCATTAATTTAATTATTATATATCTCGTTTATTTTTCTATTTAATGGAATCTAAGCCGTGCAAAAAAAATAAAAAAAAAAAAAAATTATTGAAATTCTGAAGGCATACGTTTCATCATGTCGTAAAAACGACAAGACTAAGATGATAAATTTTTTTAATAAAAAAATTTACTTTATTTTCTAGAAAAAGGTTTTTTTTTTTTTGACGGGGAGAGGGAGGTTGATTTTGAAAAGGAAAAGATGAGCAAGGGTGTTTTTGGAATTTTGCTATGAAATGGGTAAATTATTGTACTTTGGGTAAAAAAAAAAAAAAAGAATGATTGTTTTATTAAAATAATTAGAACAATTTGCATAATTAAAATTCCTAATTTAAAAAATAATTATTCACTAGTTATAGGCTATCATAAAAATGTAAATAAATTAAAAAAACACACGCGGTTTTAGAAATTCTAAAATTTGTAATTTTCTCGTCAACCGTTAAACCTATTATTAAATTCAATGCTAGGTACAAAGATAAGATTAAAATTTAATTTTAATTTTAATGAAAATTATAAAATTTAAATTAATATATATATATATATAATTAAATGGAAAAGACAAAAGAATCCCTATTGCTTGGAATGTTATTAGGCCCATGAGTTTTTTTTGGCCAATTTTAGAGAAAGTGACATTTGAGGGGTCATTTATTTTTTGACAAACAACATCACACCTATTCGGATATGAGAAGGCTAATCGCTTTGTATGTCTTAGTGAATTGTAATATCACTCAATAGCTCCGTTGAATAAGACATTATTATTATTTTTTTTTTTTTGTAACTTTCATTATTGGACTCGTACACTGTTCTTTCACTTTTCGTGTTATTTATAAAAAACGATAGAATCTTATTTTGATCTTTAAACTCTCTGTTATAGCTTCGAAATAGCCCATGTAAATGATGTCTTACATCGACTTGAATTGATTCATAAAATATCATCACGGTTGATATAAGATCTTTTTAAATAAAATCTTGTGAGATGGATGTAAATTTCGGTGATAATGATATATATGATTTTATTTGTGTTGTTTTTAGTGAAGCATACAAAGTTGAATTATTAAATGCTACATATAATTTGATTAATTAATCATTTTTTCTTAAAGTTTTCCATTTGAATTAACCATTACGCATATCCTTTATATGGAGCATCCAAAGCTTCCTTAAACAAAATGAAAACCAAAAATAAATAAATATAGTAATAATGATAAAAAGAGAAATAAAATAGCATTTATAAATTTAATTTTAAAAAATAAAGAACTAAATTAAACAAGCCAAAGTTTTTGGCTTGTAAAGGTAAAAGTCAAAAGAGAGGAAATACCAAATTTAGCCTCGAGGATTAAAAAAACAACCAACGAGAGAGGGACACGTGTCAAAAGGGTATAAAAAGTAGAAAACACGGTGATTGGCCAGTGCGTATTTGGTTGCTGACTGGACTCTCTTCTTCACTCCCACGGTATGTTTTCCGTTTTTGTCCAAACAATTCTCGCTTTCACTAAAACCCTCTGCTCCATATCTCATCGCAATTAAGATATATATATATATATATTAACTGTTGCATTTTTTTTTTTATATAAAAAATAATTAATATTTTTAAATTAAAATATTGACCTTTTAAAATTAATAATACGTCTGAATATTTATATTTATTAAAAGAAAATTGCAAAAGTCCACCTCTAATTTATGTAAATTATTACGGTCATATTCTATAATGAAATCCTTTATAAAGATTGTTTTTATAATTATAAAATTGTTATAATTTAACTTTATTTTGATTACATAATGTTTTTAAAAATTAATTTTTACATTGAGTTTAATTGCTATCTTAATTTAAGAAAATAAAATAGACATTTTAAAAATTCTGTAAACATAAATTAGAAAAAAATTAAGAAATTATTTACAATTAGAAATAAAATAGAATAAATTGTTTTTTTGTTTTTTGTTTTTTTTTAATTTTCATTTTTACTGAGCTTCAATAAAACTCCAAGGTTCAACTCTTCGTTTTTTCACCTCCCTTTCTCTTTCTCTCACTAATTCCATCTTCACTCTCTGCACTGCACACAGCCATTCCGATTCACTTGCTTCCGACGATCATGGAAAAAACAGCTACAGAGCCTTGGCGATTCGAGCCGCCACCGTCTCATTCCTCCTCCGTCTACCGTCCGCCGGACACCCCATTAGAGCCCATGGAGTTCCTCTCCCGCTCTTGGAGCGTCTCTGCTCTCGAGGTCTCCAAAGCCATCGCCCCTCCTCGTTTAACTCTTTCTAAGCACCCCACCGCCGGAAATGGCTTCACTGCCGCTGGCGGTGCCGGCATCATTTTGGAGGATTTAACCGGCGAACTTGAAGAGATTACCCCTTTTGCTGGAAACCCATTTTCATTTGCTTCATCTGAAACGTCGCAGATGGTGATGGAACGGATTATGTCACAGTCGGTAAGTTTGGTGGAGCAGAGTTTTTGTTTTAGCAGAGCATGTATGGACAAATAATGGGATTTGCTTTATTTTTTTTTTCATGTTTTGGATGGATTCAAATTGATTGGAACTTTGCTTATCCTTTTGTTTTTGTTTCTCCCTCCCATTTTCTCTCTGGCTTTATCTACTAATAAAAACATACTTCTGATTTCTCTTATTTCCCCCAACTTTTGTCTCACGCAGCGTACATCCCACTTTTTTGTGCTGAATTCCTGTTGTTTGTTTCTTTTTAATCCAATTCTAGTGCATTTAATCCTCTGGGGTTCTGTATTTTGAATTGGGTCTTCAATTTTTTCCCCTTTCATTGTTCTTCTTCAACCGCATCGACCATCGAGAACGTAAATGGTGTTTTCGAGGTTAATTGTAAGAGCGATTCATTACAATTTCCGACCCATTTTCATGGCTGCATATATCCTTTCGTGATTTCTACGTTTCCGCCATTAATGATCTGTTCCTTTTCTTTACTCAATGGCAGCAAGAGGTTTCGCCGCGAACTTCTGGCAGACTGTCTCACAGCAGTGGCCCTCTCAATGGCGCACAAAGTTGTGGTTCATTAACCGACAGTCCACCTGTCTCTCCTTCGGAAATCGACGACGTTAAGGTCAGTATTCTGTCGCCGGCGGTTTTTTGAATATTGGGTGTGCCGATTCTGACACCAAGATTCAGGCCGGCTCTGTTGTCTCTTCTTTTTTGTCTGTTTATTTCTTCTCTTTCGGTCATATTATAGGGTTCTTCCTTTGATTACAGACCAAATTCAGCTTTCACTGTAATCGATGTTCTTTTTTTTTATTTTTTTTTTATGACAATTCTTGCTCATTGGGTGTTGATTTTCATAATTTTGCCTCTGTTTCTGATGGGGTTTCTGTAATTTGCTCCCGTCGGCGAATTGCCGGATTATTTCCATTTCCGGCGAGTGGTTTATGTTAATTTGAATCGAATTCTTGAATGGGTGTCTCCACTTTGGGGCATTTATTGATATATGGACCCCATAAATTGACACATATCTAAGTTCTTGTCATCCATTTCGATCGATGTCCCATCTGTAATTTATCTCTGCAGTGTGGCCGTTCAAACATCCCTGTAAACCAGTACAGAGTTACTGCCAGTGGCGGAGCCACCACTGCCGGCGGAGGAAAAACTGTTGGGAGATGGCTAAAGGACAGGAAAGAGAAGAAGAAGGAAGAAACAAGAGCTCAGAATGCTCAGCTTCATGCTGCTATTTCTGTTGCTGGTGTGGCTGCAGCCATTGCTGCTATTGCTGCAGCCACTGCAGCTTCTTCTGGTTCTAGCAAAGACGAACATAAAGCTAAAACTGACATGGCTGTTGCCTCTGCTGCAACGTTGGTTGCTGCTCAATGCGTTGAGGCAGCTGAAGTAATGGGTGCTGAACGCGAGCACCTTGCATCAGTCTTGAGTAATGCTGTTAATGTCAAGTCAGCTGGTGATATCATGACACTAACTGCAGCTGCAGCCACTGGTAGTGTATAGCTCAATACTTCATGGTTTTGATTCTTGATTCAGACGTTTATTAACATGAAGCTCCTTGTTTTGATTCAGCCTTACGTGGGGCGGCGACGCTTAAAGCGAGAGCGTTAAAGGAAGTGTGGAACATAGCTGCAGTAATTCCAGTAGATAAAGGTATGGGAGTTGCTGAGAATGGCAGCATTGGCAACTCCAACAGTAGTTTCAGTGGTGAACTTGTCCATCCTGAAGAGAATTTCTTAGGCATTTGCAGCCGAGAGTTTCTCGCTCGAGGCTGCGAGCTTCTGAAACGTACTCGTGAAGGTATGATCTTTAATCTCCGTGTTCGTGTTGAAGGGGTTTGATCAGAATCAAAGTGGAGTCTTAGTTATTGTTCATTTGCAGGTGATCTTCACTGGAAAATAGTTTCCGTATACATTAACGGAATGAATCAGGTAAATAGCCTTAAAGAGACTTCGATTTGTTCTAGTTTTCTAATCTGCAACTTGATCTGTTAATCATTCAGTACTCTAGTTCAGCCTTTTGTCTTGGGATGTGAACCCTGTTGAAGATAAAAGTTTAGCCGAGAATGATTGTAACAGCCTCTTTCGAGCTTCCCTTTAAAGTTTTTAAAACGTGTATGCTAGAGAGAGGTTTTCACACCCTTATAAACAATGTTTCTGTCTTCTCCCTAACCATCCACTAGGGTCCAGTATCTTCGCTGGCACTCGTTCCCTTCTCCACTTGATGTAGGATCCCCCAATCCACCTCCTTCGGGGTCTAGCATCCTAGCTGGCACACCGCCTCGTGTCCACCCCCTTCAGATCTCAACCTCCTCACTAGCACATCGCCCGATGTTTGGCTCTGATACCATTTGTAACAGCTCAAACCCACTGCTAGCAGATATTTTGTTTTCTTCGGGCTTTCCCTCTCGGATTCTCCTCAAAGTTCGTATGTTAGGAAGAAGTTTCCACACCCTTATAAAAAATGCTTAATTCTCGGGATCTCAGAATGCAACTAGCCTTGAGGTGCTTTATTGAGCTTGTTTTTGTGCAGGTTATGTTGAAGATGAAGAGCAGGCACGTTGCTGGGACCATAACAAAAAAGAAAAAGAGTAAGTGAGAATTGTCTTGTCTTTTCTCTAATAATTTGAACAGAGAAGGATGTGGGTCTTCCATTTGGGGATTGATGAAAGGTTTACACAATGTGACGTACTATAAAGCAAACCAAGAATAAAGAAGTTCATAATGGAGGGGCCTCCTTGATCTCTCTTTAACCCTGCCTTTTTCTTTTTCACCCTTCTCAGATATCGTGTTGGAGGTAATAAAAAACATGCCCGCCTGGCCCGGTCGCCACCTGCTCGAGGGAGGAGAACACCGTCGCTACTTCGGCCTGAAGACCATCCTGCGGGGCGTCGTCGAATTCGAATGCAAGAACGTACGGGAGTACGAGATATGGACTCAAGGCGTGTCTCGGCTGCTAGCCATGGCAGCGGAGAAGAGAGGAGACAGAGTAATGTAAAAAGAGCTATAGATTAAAGGTAGGAAAAGGAAAAGGAAAAGGAAAAGGAAAAGGGAAAGGTATTGGAAATGGGGTCTGTGTGGTTAATGATATGGTTGAATTTTGAGGGTAAAGTGAGCCAATTTGAATGAAAGTGAGTCCATGTGAGTCATGTTTTAGGGGTTTTAAATGGTCTTGGTTTGTTGCTGTGTTGGGAATCAAAAGGGGTAAGCTTGGACTGAGGCAGTCAAGAGGAATATAATACAAACCCCCACTACTACCCATAACAATGAAGATAAAAGCAAGATGCTCTTTCTTTTTTTCCTTTTTTTTTTCCCCCAAAATTTGTTTTAATATTATTTTTTTTGTTGTTTAAGGTTCTTGCTTATGTTGGGGCACGTCTCAGATCGGCTAATTTAGAGAATGATCATGGGTTTATAAGTGAGAAATACTAACTCCATTGTTACGAGGCCTTTTGGGAAGCCCAAAGCAAAGCCATGAGTGCTCAAAGTGGACAATATCATACTATTGTGTAGAGTCGTGTTCGTCTAACGTGCCTTTTCCAATCATTTGGTTACATTTTTTAACTTGTTTTGTTTTGTTGAGTAAATGAGGAATATCTAAATGAGAAGAATTTTGAAGATACGATGACTATAAAAACTTAATAGAATCGAAAGCTCAATCATATGAATCTTATGATTAACCGTGTTTTACTTGAAGTAATTCTATCTGGGGCGATCTATTTATAAATTTTCTTGAGAATAAAGTACATAGTTTTCCGGCTTATTAAAAACAAACAAATAGTATTAATAATTAACACACAAACACTACAACAAAAAACAAAAAAGAACAGGCCCAATAAGGAGGAGTTGAAAGAAGCCCAATAAGGAAGGCCCAATATCTCGTATGTTGGAAGAAGAATGTATTGCACGTTAATATTTATTTTCAAATTCAAACTCGAATTTTAATCCTTGGAGACTTAAAAATAAACAAAAATATTATCAATGTTTTTCCTAAATATTATAAAATTATTTAAAACATGAATTTTAAGAAAAAAAGAAAAAATAAAATAAAATTTCTAACATGAATTTTAAAATAAACCTTAATTTATTATTATTGTTACTTTTAATTTATTATTATTGTTACTTTTAAAATATTTTTGAGATATTAACGAGGATATTAAAATTCTTTTAAAAGAATGTGAGTATTTTTTTTTTTAAATAATAAGCAAAATTAAATAGTATTTTTCTAATTAATATTTTTTAAATCGATTTTAATATCCTAAAACCGGTGAGTAAGTTATATTAAACACATTTTAAATCGTTTATTAAAAAATTAATTTCGTTTAATTTTTTTTTTCTCGAGTTATTCCAGATATAATAAATTAATTATTGAGCAAAATTACGTGACTCTGATTGGGCTGACCGTAAATCTCCAAAAGGGCCGAAATTTCAAGCAAAAGCCCAATCATCAATTTTCAAAGCCCAGGCATACAATTTGTGAGATTTGTTCGGTAATTGGCGATTTGGGCTCGACGAAGGGTTTTGTCGCCGTCGTCGAGGGGTTTCTGGTTCCGGCCAAATTCTGAAGCTTCTTCTCAATGAAAATGTATGCTCTGAGTCTTCACTCTTTCTGTAATTTTCGCAATCTTGTTCGAACTACTCGATTCTGCGATTGAACAGCGATTTCAATTTACTGTCGCTAACAGTTTAATCGAAACTGTCGTTTGCAGATTAGAGGCAAACGCAGGCCCTCTTACTAATTTCGAGGTTCTCGACTTTCTAAGATCGAAGGGAGCAGCTAAGGATCCCACTAGGGTTCTTGCGAAAGTGGCACCATCTGAGTACAAGGTTATATTTCTATTTCCTTCTTCTGTGCTGGCCTACGAGTTCTTATGTTGCAAGTTTCGATCGGATCTTTTTTTGTTTTTGTTTTTAGGTTTATGATTATTTGAATCAAACTCCTGCTTCTAATCAAACGAGAGAAGCTATTATTGAGTTTGTTGACAAGTCCAAAAAGTACGATCTAGCGAAAGCTGAAATTCTGAATATCGTTAACTTGCGGCCGATTACTCCGGTTGAGATATTTCCGGTAATTTCTCCCTCTCTTTCCTCCTTTCATTACATGAATCTTCATACTTTATGCTATGTTTTTTGTATGTGATCTCTGTTCTAAACTCATCTTCGATTTTCCTGTATGTGAACGAGGCCTTTTCTTTTAATTTGTGCCTTCCAACTTTTTCTTGAAGAACCTACGTTTAGGAAGTCGAGGAGCTGTGAATTCCTGTATAAATTTTAGAGGACTGATGAGATATACTATTTCAGCCATGTTCATATGACGCCTTCTTTTTGCGTTTTTAATGTTTAGAACAGAATTACGTAGTCTTTGTTGCTTTTCACTTCTCTGTTGACATTATAAAAGCTTTAGATTCTCTAGCTATGGAGCACATTTGTGTGAGTATTGAGAACTTGGTCGAAGTAGATGTCAGAAATTGTAGCTAAAATTCAACTGTAGATCTCAATCAATTAGTCTGAAGTTCTGTAAAGACTTGGGGGTGGTCGGAAGGATTCCTTATACAGCATTCTGCTTTTTTGGACAAAAGTTCTATTCATTCACAAATAGTCTAGTCTGTAGTTCTGTAAATACTTGGGGGTGATCTTAATCAATTATGCTAAAATTCTTACCTCTGAGTACAAATGTTCTGCTTCTTGTATTATACTTATGGCCCATTCGATTAAATCTCCAAGAGGTTTTGCCCACCTCAAGTTTTGATCCGGAAGACAAAAAGAGCTTTTTTAGTCGTTTAGTTTTGTTTTTGAGACTTAAATATATGTTCAAACATTCTGAACTCTTGTCAACTACTACTGGGCCTTTCGTGGAAAGTAAGGTTGTTTTTCAAATAGATCCCAAGCCAAAGTCTCGTCTTCTTGTGTTTTGTTTGATCATGATTCTTTTCCTCTGCTGGGATGCTTTGTTTTGGTGTTCATGTAAGAACCTGGACGAAGGAAGTGAAAACATTTGGATAAGTGGTTGGATTGAGATGCAGATTAATTGGGGTTTATTCCTTTTGTTTCTAGATTATAGAAGAAAGTGATGTTCGTATGGGAGATGATGGAATTCAAGAGCTTACGGAGATGGTGGAACAGGTGTTCCCCGCACCTCAATCAACATCCGAAGTAGCTCCATGTAAAGAGGCCGAAGCCATGGAGAAGGAGGAAGGAGTTGGGGGTACCGAAGAAGAAACCGTGGTAACAACTTGAACCCATTTCAAAACTTAGGTGAATGTCTGTAGATTAAGCCTAAATTTGCTGCCTCAGTTCAAAAAGAGCTTCCACAAGGTTGGCCTGTAAACGATAAACCCAAAAAGACATGGCTCTGTACTGCATCTTCAAGCCTCAACTCGACTATTCATAATGTGTAGACAAGGGTTCTAGGTGAAAAAGATAGAAACTGAGAGGGACAGTTCCCAAAAATAGAATGAGAAATCAAAGTTAAAGAAAGCTTTTGAGTGGTAAACAACGAAAATAGCTGGGCTTCTTTTCATCACTATTCTTCTGTTTGTTAAATATACCCTAATATTTTAGACATGGAAGAAGAAGCCGAGATTTTCTTTTCCCTAGGGTACTCACCATCTCCTTACAAAGCAACAGCAGAAGCAGCACATGCTCCCGACACTGAATTACTGACAGCAACATTACATACTCTCATAATTTCAGCGTCATATCATACATACTAGATATTATCTTATGCATCAGACCCCCTATACTTCGTATTCTCTTTTCTTTCCCTCTTCCCCATATAATGATATGAATTTTTTTTATTAAATTACTATTCTAGATTTGTTGCAGAGCTTCTTTTGAGATTATAGTCCATGATTGATTTTTGTTTCATTTTAGTAGTAAAAAAAATGAAAGCCAGAATCACATCTTACACAGTAGTTGGCATTCTGAACATATACCAATTAGTTTTGGTATATACTCTTGATTGAGAAGTCATTGAAAGTAGTTTTACTTTTTGTTACAGTCCGCTTTTGGTCTCTTACGTATCGTTATCAGCCTCACAGTTTTAAAACACGTATGTTGGGGAGAGGTTTTCACACCCTTAAAAGGAATGCTTTGTTACCCACTCTAAACTATGTGGGATCTCACAATCCACCCCTTAGGGGCCAACATCCTCACTCATTGCCTGATATCTGGCTATGATACCATTTGTAACAGCCTAAGCCCACCGCTAGTAGATATTGTCCGTTTTAGTCCGTTACGTATTATCGTCAATTTCTTTTAAAACGCGTCTGCTAGAGAGAGTTTTTCACACCCTTATAAGAAATGTTTTGTTCTCCTCTTTAATCGATGTATAGGAACTCATATTTTCAAATGAATAGTATAAACACAAAAGATCATCGGTTGTTTACTTTTGAAGAGGAACTCAGAACAAATTTGTCTGGTGAAAAAGAAAAGGCTACGAAAGTGTCTGAAAATTGTCCACAGAAAGGGTAGATAATTGTGGAGGGATGAAAATTTAGAGATTGGAATGGGAGGGTGATGGTGTTTGGTATTGACGGCACCACCAAAACTCTGCAACACCCACCCTCCTTCCTTCCAAACCTCTCCATCAAATCAACCATCAATTCACCAAAATAAGCCCCTTTCCTCTTCCTTTCTTTTTTTTTTTTTTTTTTTTTTTTTTTTTTTTTTTTTTTTTTTTAAAAA